CAGGCTGGCTGGGGAATTCTGGGAGTTGAACTCCACCCCTCTGAAAGCCGCCAAGGTTGAGACATACTACACTAGGATTTCTGAACCATGGTTTACAAATTATGTGAATACAGACATTACGATTTGCAATTCATTTGAGTGGATTTCAGCCTTCGTTAGACATACCGCTGGTGTATTAGCAGTGTCTTGGCCCCAGCCCAGAGCTTTCTTTAGTGAAGAACAAAGGAGGGAATTTAAAAAACAACAACATGAAATCCTCTAGATTAGTGGCTGATTTTTCCAGAACTCTATTCCTTTGCAGGGAGCATAAGTTTAATAGGGCTCTCTCTCTCATTCATTCTCTCTCTCTCTCTCTCCCTCCCCTCCCCAAATGTCCTTTATATCCAGTCTTCGGCTTCTCCGCGCCCTGCGTCACTTCGCACTAGGCAACTGGCAGCGCTGCTCTGGAAAGGAAAGAGGCTGACGCCCCGAGCAGACAGGACTCCAGGGAGGGAAGGGGGCTGCGGAGGAGCGCGGTTGCTCTGCTTTTGCGTTGATGCGACTGCTGGTCCAAAGGAGCTGCCGTGACGTCACTAGCGTCTCCCTTCCCCGGAGTGCGGCTGCAGGAGGGCGTAAAATAAGAATTCACTGGAGGCGTCTCTCCTTTCGCCTTTCTTTGTGAGTATATCCTCTTGTCGCTGAATGCGGAGATCCTCTCCAAGGGATGAGTATGTCCTTTGTTCGGTAGAGGCTCGTCGGCGTTTGCCGTCTGGGCTCCCCCCGTCTGTTGCGCACTGTTGCGCTATCCAGGGCTCTCAGTTCCCCCTTCTCCACTGCGTGTGGCTTTTTACTTTTTTTTCTTTCTCTGTCTTCCTTTTTGCAGATTTCATTTCCCTGCATATAGGCCAAACCTGCTGCATGTTCACCTTCTCCACCTCTGGGGGAGATGGGCAGCATACAAATTCAGTAAATAAATAAACCGGGGGTGGGGCAGCGTTTAGTACTCTCCCCTCTGGCATCAGGAGTTCTGTATTTTTTAGATTCCATATGCTGTTAATATTCCATCTGCATTTTTAGAAAAGATACTTATGTAAAAGAATCACCTTTCTGCTCTATTTATTGAATTACTGAAAAAAAATGTTTTCGAGAATATCTGTTACAAAAATGGAAAACTTAATCTGTTTCATCTATCTTTCCATCAGTCTTAATTGCATTAACATGACTGAAATGCGGTTTTATGCTTTTATATCCTGCCAGGTACAATAGCAGAAAATGTGATCTGAAGCAATGTTACAAGGTCATTCTCATGCCAAGGTTGCCTGGTACAGTAAGATACTTGGGGGCTTAAAAACATTAAAGAGAGAAACATTAAGACTTTTGTATCCCCTAGGCACATTTATCTTCATAGGCTTTCCATAGACTGCTCAAACACAATGCAACCTTGACCCAAGTTTCCCAAACACAAATACCACATTAAGAATTTACCTATCAGGTTTTGGTACAAATTCAGAAGGAGAATGCTCATTCTCCAAATTAAATGACGTCAGAAACTATTTCTGCTTTACCTTATACACGAACAAAATGATATTTTCTCTATTTTCTGTGAAAAGTGATTATGAAAACAAATAGCCACTGATGTTGTAATTTATGAATTTGCCAGTAGGAGATGCTGCAAAGTCAACATTTGCCAAATGTATAATTTTAACTCCTGAAAAACCCAAGTCTTCTTGAATGTTCTTTAATAACATGTTTGCCAGTGTTTGTTAATTAATTATAATTTAAATAAAATGTTAAGTAAAATGTTAATGAACATTATTTATCACATTAAATAATATAATTATTGGGCTGTTTATATTCATGATTTTTTTTTAAAAGATAGAAAATTATTTTCTAACTCTCTAAAAAGGGCACCATAATAATTCAGAGATTTATATTTCTTCATATTCTTTATTGCCGATATTTTAGCCTCATTCTTTAAGTATGAATATTTTAAATGATGTCACAAATTGCAGTAAGTATATGCATAATAAATAGTAATACCAACTTGAATATATTTAATTTTAGGGTTTTGACTTTACTGTTATTTTCCATATTTTCATTTTTTAAAATTATTTATTCAGTTTGTATGTAATCTAAGCAACTCCGGGTGGCTCGCAACAGGTGAAAAACAATCCAGTAAAAAGAAGTTAAAAACCATGTACAAACATATAAAAACTCTTTGTAATCAATTAAAACAAAAAATCATGATCAGTGGCAGATTCCTCCTTACATCAGCTCAACACAGCCATTGTAAAAGCTCTCCACCATTGCCAGACACAGCAGCAGAGCCATGTCTTCAGGGCCCTCCTAAAGGCCAGGAAGGTTGGGTCTAATCTGAAGTTCAGGGGGATAATGTTCCATAGGTTGGGCACCATGGCAGAAAAGGCTCTCTTCCTGCGTCCCACAGATGACACTCTTTTATAGATGGAACCTGTAACATGCCTCTCCCAATAGTTTTGTCGTCCTTAGGCACTGTGCTTATTGTACCTAATGGATAATATGGGCATGGAGAGAAAGGTATGCATCAGCAGTGGCCTTAAATGTGCCAGATTCCCTGGACATTGTTTCCCTGGAGTCACTGTTGTTTTGGACTTGACATGCCATGGAACAAAAATAATGTCCAGGCTACTAACTGAGAGAGAGATTCTGTCACAATCCCAAGTTGCAAAAATGTTCCTGCTCTTTCCTATGTGGTCCTTTGTTGGAAAGACCAGTTAGATGTCTGATCAAATGGGACTTGGAGGGGATGTCAGTGTTACTAACTGCCCCAGGCCTTAACACGAAAGGAGTACCAGTCCAGTAATTCAGTACTCAGAATGTTCATTGAATTGACACTTTTCAATCAGTGCAGTAAAACTAAGAAATTAAGTAGAATTTCAGGAATTATTTCATTATTTAGGGCTTTCCTCCTTGTTCCCCAATACTGGCCCATTATCTTCAGGAGGCAAAAAACAAGCAATAAAAGAGAGGGACAGAGAAAAACAAATGGAGGATAGGGAAGGAATGTAATGATAGAATGGAGGCCCCATGTAGACCCCCTTGATTTCCTTAGAAATCAGTGGATATCAGTGTTTCAATAAAAGAAAAATACATTCCATACATGATTCACTGTCTTAGGACAGGACACAGTTAGCATTCTGCCAAGGATTAAGGGATTCCTTTTTTATTTAGTCACCTCCATTGAAATGCAGGGCCTAGCTGATTGTAGAGCGCTACAGAGATGACCTTGGGGAAAATACTCTGAAATCATTATGAAAAGAAAAACGTGTTTTAAACTCCAGAAACAGAGAAAGGGTGAAAAAGAAGGTCAGAATGGCTCTACTATTGGGATATAAGAGGTAGGGAAGGGAAGGCACAATCAGGCTTTGATGATCGTGTTACTGTAGCTTAGATCAATAAAGTATAGTTCCCATCAAACTTGTGGAGTCTGTTTCTCGGCCTGGCCTACCTTGAAGAGCTGACAGTGACCTTGGTTGATCTCGGAAGGCTATGCAGAGCCAAATTTTGGTTCATATTTGGATGGGTGCCTATGAGGCAGCCTCAAGGCTGAAGACCAGACTGTGAAGTCAAATTAAGCATCTCCAAACAAGGCAGTGGCAAAGGTGAATGGACAAAGTTTGTAATTCTGAGGTGCAGAGGAGAAGATGAATCTGGCTATGCTCTATTGATAAACAATCGTTAGAAATTGAGTTTCATCCAATAAGACCCAGGAGATTATCTGGAGTTTGATATGGAGTTGAGTTCTATAAACTGATGAGACCCTGGAAATACATATTTTAGGCGCAGCACTTTTTAGGCATAGCACTTTTTAGAACTGTGCCCAAAAAGAAGAAGAAAAACCCTTCCCAGTTTTTTTTTTTCTTTGCTGTTTACAACTATTTCTGTCCATTCATAAATAATGTAGCTGGCTGATTCTTGTCTTTTTCAGTTTAAACATATTTTACAGTCAAAGAATTTCATGGATGTTTCTTGTATTTTTGTGGACTTTTTTTCATTTTTAGCATTTTTGGATGCCTAAAGAGTGTAGTTTCAGTGGGGGAAATGTTTTTTAAAATTGTCTGCTTATGGACTTAGGGTACAGTTTTTGTGTTTTTTTATGTGAAAATGGCAGGAAACCCCATTGGTGACTTTCTCTTCCTTTGGCAAAGATGGATGAAAGCCCTGTTGATACCATAACTGAAAAAGGTAGGTTAAAGAAAAGATACTTAATGTTTTGGGTCATATGCATGCATTTATTGTAGTTAAGTGAAGAGGGAGAAATTTCATGTAATTAATAAGAGAAGGATGTGTGTTTTAAAAGGAAGAATTAAATACTTTGATGTAAGTGGGTGATGGATTAGAGAAATGCTTAGCAAAATTGAGAGAATTAGGGGAAAACAATAAGGTGGATGAATGGGAACAAAGAAATGATTAAAATATCCTTGGAAGAGCTACTAATTACCACTAGAGACAAGCGACATTTGTCCATGCAATCACCAGGAGTTGAACTTACTCAGCCAGCACTTAATGAACCAATTCTAGCATTGATCAATGTAATACTCAGTATATCTGCTTTGGAGAAAATCACAACATATGGCTCATGTTGTTTGGCTGATGGTGAGCTTACCTTTTAGTAGCTGGGGATTACATTTAATAGGAAGATACAACAGCGTATCTGTCATATCTTAGGGTGATAGCTCAAGGTGAATGAGGTTCTATTACGTATGTAGGCAAGGTCAGTAGTTTCCTTTTATTCTAACAGCAAATAATTTTTTTAAAAACTTTGTGTTTGAAGGTTTACAGTACAATGTATTAATTTGTTGCCTGTAAATATCAGGAAAATGGCATTGATTGTTAGGAACTGTGAGATCAATCTTTATTACAGTCATAGGCCAGCATAAGGGGTAGAGTATGGTCATTAAAAAGAAACATAAAAATAAAAAAGTATAAGGTAAAAGGATATATATCTTAAGACATAAAAGGTATAAAAGTTATGCAAAGTTATACAAACATCTACAAGCTATTGTAAAAAGCTAAACATCAAAATTGAGTGCCACCGTTGGAAGGAGTCTGGATGATACAAAACAGGAAGGGGGACTCAAGGGCCATATGCAGCCCTGAAAGTTACTTGTTGAAAAGACTTTTGATCTCTTGTTTGTTTGTTTGCTTTGGAACCAGTGCCCTTGCAAAACATAGCAGTGGATGTGCTGATCCGAGGCTTTCTGAGTGATGTTACATGTCAGCTTCATTACAAAAACCAGGAGACTGTCCCCCTGGAAGTTGAATTTGTCTTCCCTGTGCATGCTGAAGCTGCTGTCTATGCCTTTGAGGGTCTGATGGATGGTCAAAAAATTGAATCACAACTCATGAAAAGGGAGGAGGTATGTGAGAAATGGTGGTGGAGAGGTTGATGCCCAATTTGATTCCCTCTTGAAAACTATCCCATTATGCTTTTTAGAGCTGTTTCTTTGTTTGTGCTCAGAATAAATTGTGCAAGTCACTAAGTGCTCCATAGATCTGTAGAGCCTGCTCTCCATCCCATATTCTGGTAATGAAAGCTCATTGGCTGTATTCAGATAACACACTAACCTTAAAAAGATAAATCTGTGCAACGTGTTAAGTGTCTCATCTCCCCAAGATTTGAACTAATAAGGCTGGAGACTGTCAGAAAGTAGGAAATGCATGGCTAGGTACTAAGTATTGTAAATCAGGAATGTTTGCTCATACAGTTTACAGTCATTGTTTAGTGACAGAACTGGTATAGAATTTATATCCACTGCTGCTTCAAATCTTGTTGTTATTTTCCTGCACCTCTCCCTATGTAGCAAAGCTCTAGTTTCCTTTTCTCACATTTACTTGTGAATGAAAGTTGCATGTTTACACTTTCTACATACCTAGACTGAGAATCTTCTCCTACTAACTGAAACCCAGTGTTCAGATGGACTAATATTAATCATGATTAGGGTTTTTTTGTTCGTTTTGTATTTGTGGCACACTGTGTGGAACAAACCCAGCTAATTTTCTTTTAACGTATTGTGGGAACTCCAAAAATGGCTGTGACTAATGTGTCATTCTCCAGATTTGCTGACATAATTTGAATAGAACCTTACGGATTCTTTTCTGTAGATATTCTACTAATTCCTGTAGCCTTCAGATTTGATAATGATCAAAGAGCTGATATAATTAGTAGATCTTCTAGTATTACGTAGATGTTTTTGTAAGTAGGGGATATCTTGAATGTTGACATCTCTACTGTATAGTATTTCAGTGTACTTCTTCCATCTTTGATCTTCTTTGAATCAGTCCCTATCTGTCCTTTAGCGTACCAGTTCAAGAGTGGAACCTCCTTCTGACTTCAGAGCTCTTTGGGAAGACTTTTCTGTTTTTCCATGTCTGTTTCCATCTTTGATGTCTTTATAGATGTCATTGTAATACTGCTTCTTGTCTTTTCAAACAGCTCTCTAAACTTATTTGTTAAATACTTTCCTGAGATCTTTTTTTTGGCTTTGCCTTCTCTTCTCAGCAATTTCCACCATTTGTTCTGACATCCAATTTGTTTTCTTCTGTTTCTTGGTTTGGGGCAGTCTCTTTTCATATTCATCCTTAACAATATTTTTCATTTCATTCCACAGTTCCTCTGGCTCCATATCCTGACTATGACAGCACTGTTCCTTCTTTGTTTTTCATGTTCTAAGTAGGAAACAGGATGACCTTCTGACTGAGAGTGTCAAATTCCAGTCCATTTCAATTTGCTGATGCTTAAAATGTCAATATGTAGTCAACTCATTTCATCTATCACTAAGTTGAGCTTTCCCATGTTCATGCTACTTATGTTCCATGTTCCACTGCGATTCTATCTTTGCAGCTTTGGATTTTCTTTTCCTGCATGGCAACATCTAGACTTTAATCTAGCCATGTCATAAACACCATTAGAACTCCAAAAGATCCTCAGTTTTTTCTCAGTAGCATGTTGAGTGCCATCCAACCCGAGAGGCCCATCATCCCGCTCTATATTGTGAATGACGTTATATTGTCCATTCATGTGGTTTTGTTGGTAAAATACAGGAGTGGTTTACCACTGCCTTCCCTATGCAGTATGAAATGATGCCTTTTCTGTTGTCGCTAAAGCAGTCTTCCACTTCCAGCATCTTCCTATATCACTGCTGCCAATATAGGTGCTTACTTGCTTTAGATGGGCAGCTGGGTTGACTTCGCACCTTGGATAACCCTGCTGGTATTATATACTCTTGCATACACTCCTAACATTCTTTGCTCATCCCTCCCAGGAACACCCCCACCATCATGATAAAGCAACACAACAGGACTTGGGAGAGACATCCCCCTTTGCCACTGCCTTTCCCTACTGCATGTATAGATAAAGATCTAAAATAGCTTTGCATTTTAACAAGAGCCATGTGAAGTACATAGTAAAATAAAACAACTTTAAAAAATCAGTGCACTTTTTGCTAACAACTAAGAACCTGAGACCACAAGGTTGAGGATATGGCCAGGAAGTTAGGCTTCTTCAGACATTAGCAACAGCAAGTTGTTTCTGCAGGCAAGAAAAGAATGAGCAGAGACAGAGTTTCCTGTATGGAGCGCCTTGTCAGGTAAAGAAGTAACTTTGCTAATTAAGAACAACAGTAGAAGGGCAGAACTGTGCACTTGTCCATGCTTGTGTTTGGAATGAACACTATGACACTGATGTATGAAGAGGACTACTTTATTTGGCTGACTGTGATCTCTATCATCTGACTGTCTTCACAAATGCTTTTTTCTCATCACACTAGGCAAGAACATTGTATGACACTGGGTTAATAATGGGAAGCAATGTTGCCCTGCTTGAAAAAGAGCCAAAGAGCAAGGATATTTTCAGATGCATGCTGGGAAATCTTCCTCCCAATGGAGAAGCTACTTTAAAGCTGTGCTATGTCCAGGCATTTTCTCCAGAGCCTGATGGAGCCATCCGATTTGGCCTTCCAGTTGTGTTAAAGCCACGGTATGTGCCTCAAGGTAAAGAATAGCTCTTGCTGCCTACTAATGTCTTGTTAATTACCAAGATGATTGGCTGTGTTCCTATCCTCAACCCTTACCCTTTGTTACTTCCTAAGGAATTGATAGATTCAGTGATTGCTCATACTTCTGAGATATTAGTGCTAGTTCTTTGGATGTTTCTTCATTCTCCTATTGCTTTGCCCATTTTCTGGCCCCAATTGGCATCATAATGCAGAGGGACAGAAGAAGCAATGATGACAGAGACTTCTGCTCCATATTTTCATTTAACTGGAGAGGGCAAACATCATCAGTAGCAAGTATATGAAATAGCAGGGCTGGGTGGCTCCAGTAGTTTGTTGTTGAGGTATGGGTCCTTGCATAATGATGAAAGATCATGGCAATCTAGGATGGCATCAGTTGGTGCTATTCATTTATACACATCTTGTCCTTCCATATAGAATGTTTTCATGGTGTCTTAAAATAGAATCAATAAAACAAGCCAAAAATAAATAATGCAACTGAAAGGCAGGTAACATCATCAGAGGCATAGATAAATGTGAATTTGGGGATAGAAATGGGTTTGGGGATAGAAATGGTCTTCCTCTAGTGGCTTGTAAACTTAGCCAAGGAGGGAATTTGATAAATGGATTTCCACTCTTGTTTTTTCAATGTCTGTACATTATTGTGGATTCCTCACAAACTTAAGAAATTCAGGACAGAAAAATAATTAGGATTTCCATCAGTCTGTATTAATCTGTACATTAGCCATGTCCCATTGTGGGAATAACCAAAGTTCCTTAGGTATCCTTTTATCTTCTGAACTTTAATCCATGCTATCTACTTGCCTCCTCCCAATTTTTTGCAATAAAAATTGGCCTTGGCCTTGAATGATTCGGAGCACAGAATTGTAAGAACTTAATTCAGGCTTTCCCAACTTCACAGTCTTAGAGGATATGTTAGATCATACCCTATTAGCACAACTCATCTGATTAGTAGTGTTGGGTGCTGTGGTCAAGCACATCTTGAGGGCACTGAACTAGGGAAGGCTAACTCTGTGTATAGAACTGAGAAAATTATGTCACTCTGAGGTTTTTCCATGCATTCTAATATTGCTTTCTGCAGGTTCAGAAGAGGGCAGCATTACTCAGAATGTACCACAAGTACCCAAGGAGCAGCTTCCTTATACTCTGAGCCTCAACGTCACATTGGATTCTCCTTACAGAATTTCCCATGTGGAGTCAAATTGTACTCTCACACCCCTGCAGTACACAACAGAGGATCACACCATTGCTTTGGTAAGGAGTATTATTTGTTAACTGATTGATGTGATTTTTAGATTACCAACCAGTTGCTGGATGGTGTACAAAGTGCCCCAAACCCTACATTGAGTCATTTTAAAATGTTTAATTTATTTATGAAACTTATATAAGTCTCTTAGAGTCTGATGAATGGCAGAAAATAAGGTATTTAAAACATATAAAATTATGAAATCTGATGTCAGAATAACAGTTTAGGATAAACAATTAAACACTGTAGGCCAGTTGCAACAGATGTATTTTCAAAGCCTTAAAGGCAAATGTGGACTTCAGTCCCTATATTGGGAAGTGAGTTCCACAGATGTGAGACAATTTTGGAGAAAACTCAACCCCATCCAGGAGCTGAACAAAACAGATTGTACTGAGGGTGTGCCTCCCCAGATTATCTTAGCGAGCAGGGAACATGGTCCCATTTCAGGTCAATACTGCTGATCAACCAACTGGAGTGGAGGACAGTATGACTGAAAGTGCTTTCAGATCAAGTACGTGACTGCCATGACTGGTGGGAACAGACAACCCTACAGTGAAAGCTGGTTTACTCAGTAGGGAAGATCCAGGTCAAAGAGCCTTCAGAGGAAGGGCACACATGAACAGAGGAACATCTCCAGTCCATATCAGTGGAATAAAGTGGAGTACATGACAGAATGATTCAGTCAATAGCATCTGGTGCAGAGAAAATAGGTCCTACTGTATGTCCAGAGACTTTTCATAAGATTTCAGCGAGTTGGGAATCCTCCTCTGTCAATTTGTTCACAAGAGAAGACAAAAATTGGGTGAAATACTTCTCAGATTCCAAGAGAACAAAACAAGGGGATGGATACCCTAGTAGGCATCCTAAGGAACATCCCCGTACACTTTCAACCTGTACAGTACTATCCAAGGTTGTGTGCAAGGTAAGCTGATGAATGTACAAGTAATTTTGTTCACCTTGATCTGGCATAGAGGAGACTCTGGTTCTCTGCCCTGATGGAGACAGATATTTATTCCTGCGGCATCTAAAATGTCTGGTCATCCTGTCTCAGTACTACACCCAACCCAGAGTGACTACAGTTATACATCTGGAAATTGAATGGAACAGTACCTGAACCTAAATCTTTTAGTTTTGGCAGTAAAGACCATCTTGGCCCTAGGATAAGCAGCCACCACCCACAGTCACCAGATCTGTCAGTTAACTTGGTACACTTTGAATGGTGGCACATAAGACAAAAACCTAGGGCAGTGGCAATAGGGTTCCATGAAGATGGGGCTGGAAAGCGTGGTAGCGGTGAACATTTGGCATAGATAGACAGCCATGTTAGGTTGTGTTCTTCTGGATGAGAAAGAGATCCAGCTTTTAGGGCCATGTGTGACCCATGTGTGCCAATTCTTTACAAGCACGCTCCTATCCCCCCCATGATTCCCTGTTTTCCTCACATGGGGACTTTTCATTGGTACTCAGGTCTACATGATTGTCCCCTCAAACCCATTGGACAGATTATGTCTAACATTTTTATTTGGAAACTGGCTTCTTGTAACTCTGTGGCATGGAGAGTTGGAAGATAGGGGAACTCTCAAGGGGGATATGAATGTGTTCCACCAGGACCTGGTGGTTCTACTTTATGCCTAACATCTAATGCCAGATTCCACCAAGCACAAGAAATTGTGCTTTTCAACTTCTGCCTAAACACAGAGAATGCACCCAGCTCAGACCAGAAGTGTGCAGGGCTCTGAGGCTCTACCTCAAATAAATATTAGAAGGGTAACCAGCTGACTAGCAAAAAACCTGCACTCCCATTCCTGCCTCAAAGTGTACTCTGTAAAGGGCACATCTTTCTTGGCAGCCTTAACAACAGGAGTATTGTTAATGAACATTGTTGGGGAGGCTTCAGGGTGGATCTGTCTCTTTTATAAAATATTGTAAACTAGATATGTTCACCTCTGCAGACACAAGCTTTGGTCCATATTGGGTCACAAAGACTGCTATAAACTCTGATACTGACCCACTCTATGAATACCACTTTCATGTTGGTTCATCTCTGGTTATTGAGAATGGTGGTTGAACTTACCATGAAACATCTTTCTGGTTGCCAGAAGAGGGATCCAAGTAAGGATCCTACTTAGTCAGCAAAGAAGATTTAAGAAAATACCCAAAGCGGTGCAAGAGTTGAGATGTTCATTATTTTATGTGCTATGTTATTAGTACCTTGTTCTTCTGTTCCGCTGTCTCTTTGTTGCAAGTTTTTAATATTGAAGTGGAATTTACAATAAAGGAGGAGTTAAACCAGTTAAACTCAGCTGAAGTCAGTACATGTGACTGAAGTGAAGGGGCTTCTTCCAAAGGACAGGAAGAAGCTTCAATGTGTCTTTTAGCTAGAAGAGGTGGAGTTAATCCTTGCCTGTCTAGTCCATCTTTTGGTGACCAGAAATATGCTCCACAGTAAGTCAAACTACCTTCTTGAGAGCAAAGTGAAGTGACTATACAATATTGTTTCCTTTTGTTGTGCTTTATGTAGCATGCTTCTTAGCACAGCTTTTCAGGCAGTATTCACCAGACTTTGGCAAGTACTGTGGGATATGGTGCTATTTGGGCTCTTCTGCATCACTTGCCAAAAGTTTTGGCAAGCACTGTAAGAGAACATGTGACTTGCCTTGTCTGGCACTATTTATTTCAAGCTCCCTCTCTTCCTTCAACACTGCTGACTCCAAGCTTTGGGAGGAAGATGAGCCACTCAGCCTTCTGTGGCTCAACTCACAAAAACTTTGGTGAGTGCTGTGCAAGAATGTCCTGTTCACCTTCTTTGCCATGTCCTTGCTGAAGTTGGAAGAGTCTTCTGTTCAGCATAGCCTGTGCAGAAAACTCTTCTGATTTTAGTGTAAGGCAGGTGTAAGAGAGGGAGAAATTTCAAGGGAATACATTGCCACTTTGCTTTAGTGAAAAGACTTGTATCACCTCTGTGGTGTAAATCTCTGTGGTACAATATAAGTCACCCCACATACGATTAATATTAAGTAAGCATACAATAAACACTGACCTGAATGAATTCACTGTGGTAGTATTTACATATGTTCAAGGTTGTTCCCAACATTCCATGAAGTGCTGACATTCTGCTACACTGTGGCTTGGTTCTCAGTGTCTCCTCTTGCATTCTGTGAGTCAAAGTACAATTACTTGCTTCTAATTTCAGAGTATTGGATTTCTAAGACTTGGAAAAGTAAGCTGAACCCTGCCTTTTATAAACTAGTTAAGGCAGTAGCACCAAAAACTGGAGGAGACAGTACAGCAGTGGATAAAACATGTCCATATTTCAAAACATCTATAAAAGCCAACCGGAAGAATCCTACCAACTTACAGTACAAATCATAGCCATCAAAAACTAAATTCCCTTTTGTTTTTGGAAGCACAGACACAACAGTAAATATAGCATTGACCTTTTTAAATTGCACTCTCCAAATGTGTTGTGACTGCAACTTCCAGTTCTCATGATAAAGTGAGGAAGAACTTGACAAGAGCTTAACCTTGGCCAGAATGCAGTTGATCATCTAATAATGAGACTGGATTTTTACAAAGACAAACTTGAGGGTAGAGAAGCACTTAATCGCTCTGTGTTTCATGCCTAGCCTACCTTTGAACTCTTGCTTGTGTTTATTCTGCCTCTGACAAAGATTTCACTGGTTGGAGAGCATCATTTTGATCGAGATGTGGAACTACTGATATATTACGAGGAAGAGGTTCATAAGCCCAGTGCCTTGCTTGAACCTGGGAAACCTGGGGCTGATCCAGGTGAGCAAAAACTATGGCTGGGGAAAGAAGAGGTTGTAGCATACAAGCCTGGGCCAAGTACGGATGTCCAGGGTAATGAACATCTTTCTGTGGAAATATCTGCTGCATCTGTGATGAGATGACTTTTCTTTATTTTTCTTAAATATAGGCTCATTGATGGGGGACCCAGTCCTTCTGCTTACCATGTATCCCACCGTCCCTTCTCTAAAGTCTGCTTTGAATGCAGCTGGTGAATTTGTGTTCTTGGTAGATTGTTCTGGCAGCATGTTCAGTAGTTTTGACCAGGATTCTCCATCCTGCATTGAGAAAGCCAAGGTACCATCTGATTGGATGAATGGGACAAAATAAGATAATCTTTGAACAAGGAGGGGTATTTTATAAATAAAATCTGGTAGCACTTGGGCTTGCAGGGAGGAATCCAATGGGAAATTAAGCTCACAGAAATCTTAATTACATACAGTCTGAAAATCCAGTTTCCAATTGAAGGTTTGTATTTAACCATTTCTTTTTCTACAGAAAAGTGGATTTTCCTCCCCATTTGTGCTTCCGATGAATGTACTATACAGCTCTTAGGGTGCCACCCATTTAGTTGAATATAAATTGTATGCCAATAATTGTTTGGGTCTGTATGTCCTTCTATAAAATAAAAATTGCGGAGTAGAATGGGAAATAAAAATTGTGGGGTAGAATGGGAAATACCACAGTGAATGGCAGTGTGAACAGTTAGCTCAGAGCCAGCAGTTCTCAGACCAGGTTTAGTAGTTATGTAAACACTCAATAATTGTCCAGCTTCAGGCTAGCAAAACTGCATGTAGAGTACATTAATTCATGGGAAGGATGGGAAGAAAAAGGTATGGGATGAAGTACCATTGGTATAAGACTGGCAGACGCAGGAAAGAAGACCCACTTGGATTTCTGGAAAGGTCTTTATTGCTTGTAAGGTAATGTAACAGAATCTTGAAAACTATCAAAGCAATTCTCCCATGCAACTTATTAATTATGACAGAGTTGAACTGAGCCTTTTTCTCATACCTTCCTTTCCCCCTCTTTTTCAACGGTCCTTTTTCCTCTTCCACTTGCCCAGAGTATGTTAGACGTTCCATCAAAAAGAGGCACTTATACCCTTACACTGGCAGTGGGCAATCCACGGCTTCATATGGCTTCATTCTTATCTGCAGTAAAGTTTACTCAGCCAAACTGTGTCAGTGAGACTTTTGCCAGGTCCTAACTTGGGAAGTGAGTTTAGCCATATAAAGTGAAGAAGTCCGTGGTTTACTGCTGAATTCTGGTGAGGGGAGCCTCAGAGGCAGTGCACATCTAGCATAGAATTACATATTTTAATGTTAAAGCAGTCTTGAAAGATTAATTGGGGGGTAGCTAGTTTCCATAGCAAGTTAACTGTAGCATCTCTTTTAGGAAACCCTGATCTTTCTTCTGAAGAGTCTCCCTCTTGGAAGCTACTTCAACATCTATGCATTTGGTTCTGACTACTATTCCTTCTACTCGTAAGCATAAAAAAATGTGATATGCTGGCTGCTTCTTTCTCCATCTCTGAGGTTCTGCAGTGTTGTGTTCCCTAGAAAAATATGCCTGGCATCTACACTATTATCTTTTTGGCTCCAGGCAAAGATTTTTTAATGGGTCCAAGGCTTATTGCTGCAAGATAGCCATTTGATAAATTTGATCTTAGAATTAAGCCCTTGTATCATTTCCTCTCTGGTTTTCTTCATAGGCAGAGTGTCAGATATACTCAGAAAACCATGTTAGAGTCCCTCAAGCGGGTGAAGGAGGTGACCAACATGGGAGGCACAGAGATTCTCCAACCGTTGAAGGCAATTTACAGTCAGCCATGCCAGGAAGGATACATTTGTCAGGTACTAAATGTTAAGATTAAATTCTTGTAAATTTTGTAGGAAACATACACAGTATATCTTTATATACACAAACCTTCCTTTACACATTATAATTTCAGTTTCAAACACACTCCAGGACATACCCAACATAGTTTATACAGATGTGCAAAAATCCTGGATTTATTCCTGTGTTGTGCCAAGCTACTCTTTGACTGTGGCTTAGTGGAGTACTTTTGTTCTTTGTTCTTAGGGTCATTGCAGGCAACTGAACAGTTTCTTCCCTATAGTGCTTATACCAAAAGAGTTTGAACCAGGAGACTTCCATTGGCCAGTGGGCAGTATTGAATGTTTTATTGCCAAAGCCATTGTTCTAACTGCTAAAGAAAATGTTCACATGTGGAATCATCTAGTTAAAATCATTTGGTATGATACATGATATTGTCACCCCCATAGTACAGTTCCAAGGAAACAACATGAACAGGTCCCTAAACTCACCAGAAATTAAGTTCAACTTGAAGGAGGATTTATGATGCTGATCACCCTCATAGCATAGTTTTCTCCAGTCTGGTGCCCTACAGATGTATTTAACTACAAGTTCCATAATACCTAGGAATTATGAGTTGTACCTGGTACATCTGGAAGGAACCAGGTTAGAAAAGGCTGCTTTTACAACATCTACATAACATAACAATTACAGAATTTGTATGGCCAAGCAATCCAAATAAATCTATATCTAATTAAAATAAATATTTGTATATCTAGCTAACGCCATCTGCTTTCAGACTATCCACTCAAAACATATTTTCTTTCTCACCTCTTCATTTTAATAATATACTTGATATAATCAGGTTTATTATCTCAAATGCTTTGAGGTTCCTGTGGGTTATTAAATTAATTATAGGTGTCACCAGTGTTTCCTACACTGTTACTTGCTTAGGGCTTATCTTGAGTTTGTGAGGAAGAAGAATGGAACCACCTTGCCAAAATTTTGCTTCATTTTTTTTCCTTTTCTCCTTTTTCTTCAGCTGTTTGTATTCACTGATGGAGCGGTATCTAACACAATGGAAGTCATTAAAGAAGTTCAAAGTCACATCAATACCCACAGGTAAGTTCAGAATATAAGACAGAAGTATGAGTTTGTGGCTGTAGAAGGGGCATATTAAAACCGTTAGAAGCTCAGAAGTACAGGTAGTCCTTGTTTGGTGACCACAATTGGGACCAGCGCCTCTGTTGCTAGGCAAAGCAGTTACTAAGTGGGAAATCACCTGACTGGGACTGTGCTTTCCTTTTCCCCATTCTCCCACCTTTTGGAGTGCTAACTCAGGCAGAGCTGGGATAGCGGACTTGAATCTAACAAGACGAATCAGTTTCACACCTTCAAGCTTTTGATTGCCTCCTAACCACTCCCCCATCCTTTGGAATGCTCACCCCAGCACTGGGATGGTTAAGAAGAAGGGAATTAATGTTCATATTTACATTCATTGGAGAGGAAGGGATTACAAGAGAGTAAGCAAGCATACAGTGGGGACATTGAAAGCAATCTGCTGGTGCCAGCAGCCATGAGCACGCTATGCAAAGAGCCAGGTGTATTCCCCATTGTATTCCTGCTTACTCTCTCGTAATCCCTTCCTCTCCAATCTCTCCACTCTTCGGGGGGGAGGAATGGGTCAGGCAGAGGAGAGATTGCCTACAGGAATCACTTGTTTCTTTTCTTCCCCCCCCCCTTGCTGAAAACAAGGGAAGGGATTACAAAAGAGCAAGCAAGCACACAATGGGGAATACACCAGTCTGTTTTGTAGCATGCTCGTGGCTGCCAGCACCAGCGCATTGCTTTTGATGTGTATTCATCACTGTGTGTCTGTTTACTCTCTTGTAATCCCTTCCTCTCCAATCTCTCTGCTGTAGCAGAGGGGGGACGGGTCAGGCACAGGAGAGATTGCCTATAGAAATTGCTTGTGTCTTTCCTTCACCCCCTCCTCACAGAGTGGAGAGATTGGAGAGGAAGGGATTACTGACTCTAATGGTGAACATGTGACTGAGGGATGCTGTGAAGGTTGAAAATGCGGACATTGGTCGAGTTATTTTTTCAGACACTGTCATAACTTGAACTATTGTTTTGTGGGTAAAAATCATTTTCTATCATTTCCATTATAGATGTTTTTCTTTTGGAATTGGTGAAGGGGTCTCTACTCTCTTAATAAAAGGTATTGCTGAAGCAGGTTGTGGCCATGCTGAATTCATCAAATGCAGTGAGAAAATGCAGACCAAAGTGAGTTACAAGCATTTTGCCTTCCTCTCCAAAATCTTTTAGATCCCACCCACACTTGGGATAGAGCTGAAATATGTGGAAAAAAAATAGACCTTAAGTTTGAGGGCCCCAAGTCCCAGGTATCTTCAGTTCAAGCTGGGAAAGATAACTGGTCTGAAGCCCTGAAAAACTTACATATTGCAGTAAGCCAAAAAATTGTTTCTTTAGTTTATCACAAAGGAGGACAATCTTTTGATAGCTGAGGATTGCACTTAACATTTGTTGGGAGAACAATGGTGTAATGGGGTGAGTCATATTACAAATATGGATGGGCCCAGAATCATCTGTTTTTTCCTCTATATTTGGGATGGGTTTTTTTCCTTTATTTGATTATATAAACTGTGCTAAATTTAGAACTTCCACAACAATTTATTACGTTGCCTATCATAAAATGAGAGATAATTCTGCCACTCATTTTTCGGCTCTGGTGGGCAGAGTCCAGTGGTTGCCAAAAAAAAAAAAAAGGTTTCAAGGGATGCATATTGACCTTGGGCCTCAAGTTGCCATACTCTGTTTTTTGGCTTCTTATAATGTATACCCATAGCCATTGGATTTTGTAAACCATGCTTTGTAGCCCAGTATGTTATGTGAGCCAGGCCACTACAGCTTGATCTGCAAACCATGCATGAATTCAGCCAGTGCCCATGTAGAGCAGGCTGGACAAGATGCCTCCATTGTCTGAACAGGTAAGGTACCTTCATATCACCTGGTTTTCTGAACCTACTAAGAACAAAATATGGTATGATACATGCCATTCTTCCCCTTAATAAAACATGAGAGTTTTTTACTGCAAGTTCTTTTTTCTACAGGCCTTACGCTCTATGAAGCGAGCCTTACAACCAAAACTGAATGACATCTGTCTTCAGTGGGATTTGCCTTCCGGGTTTGAGGCTGTGCTTGTGCGACCTGCCCCACAGGTCATATTTGCAGGAGAATGTTATCTTATCTATGCTCAAATCAGTGGTCAGCAGCAGGCAAGTAGCCTCAAACTTGCTTATCTAAAATATTAGAAGCTAGTAAAATTGATGTGTGAGGTTCCGCGCAATAAGTGTAAGAGGCAAACAGACGACATGGTCTTACTTTGTGATTAAAATGGATTGGGCAACCCATTTTTGATGGCTACTTTTAGTCTGCATAAAATTAAACAGTAAAAAAGTATTACGTTGAATGCCTAGAAAGCTACGTTTTATAGATATATAAACTCTAAAATGCGTTATATAAAAGAATCCATGTCTTTGTGGGAGCTGCACAGGCATTATAGCAATGCTTTCCACCCAAGCATTGTAACAGAAGGATCTAGTTTAGGAGTCTCAAGCTGGTGGACCAGGGAATGTGTGTAGCCCTCCTGATCATTTGCTGTACCCACACTTTGTATTAAGGCACTGTCACAGCCTTGATTGAGCCTCTCAGCTCACCACTGGCATCGCTGATAGAAGCTCCACCAGGAGAATATCCATGTTTCTAGTGTTTAGACAGGGACAGAAGGCCTCCTGCCTTTGCAGTGGGAGGCATGCTCTCCTCCTGGTGAAGTTTGTTGGAGTTTGCTGAGAGATGTTTCACCACTGTAGCTTCCCAACTCCGTGATCCTTTCCTGTTATCTTTTTGCACCCTAATAGCCTTGAAGCAGATATTATTGGAATCCTATGGAATCTGCCCCACTGTAGTCAGACAGACTTCATTCACTGCCCTGTAAGGAAACAAGAGTCCTGGCCTCTCCCTCTTGCTTTCCAGGTTCAAGTGGTTACTGGAATTCTCCTAGCCCTTGATCTGGGTATAGTTGGAAGAGGAAGGACCCCAATCTTCACCTACAGGCAGAGAATCACAAGAGGAGGCAAACATTCACACTGTCAGTGAGTGCAGAGATTGTCTAGATAAACTAAAGGTTCCTTAAATAAAGACATGCAGTAGCTGAGTGAAATCAGAGTAACAGTGAAGCTTATTGATTTTCTTAAGCAAAGCTAGCTCTACACATCATTCATGCACCCAGTCTCTTTGGACCCTAGTCAACCAGGCTTGGCCAACGCACTGGCTAGAGGGGGATGGGAGAAGTCTGGTCTGGACACAGAAGCAACTCAACTCCTTTCTTTGCTTCACTTAGTTTTGTACAAAAAGTTACTGAGCAGATTCAGAGTCATGGGCCTTTTGCCCTGAGCTTAGATGCCATAGAACCTGGTCATTTCCTCCTGTATTCTGCTGCAGTGACCAGACCTTTTCAGTATACCTTGCTTGCTATCCTTAGTGGTTTCCTGCTCCCTGTTTGCATGCTGGGCCCTGTTTTCAGCTTCCCAAGGTCACAACGATGCCTTTGTGCTTGGTAAAAAAGCAGCTTTCCTTTTAACCTGGCTTGTAATAGAGGCTCTGAGAAATGTGGCCTTGCCTCACGTACCCTGCTGGCCCTCCCTATGTTACTGGGCTGGAAAGGAGGAAGCCACAGATAGCAAGGAGCTGCAGGGAATGCAGTGGCGGGGGAAAGAGGTCGCCCCACTTGTCTGTACCCATCTCTTCTAACTTCCTCACTGTGGCTTCCTTCCCTTTCTGGGTAGTAGAAACAAGCATGTTCTCAAATGCAGACTTAACCTATCTTCTTTCTGACATTGTTCCCACACCAACCCAATCCCAAAGAGGCCGGTCCTGCTTTCCACTGACGACTTTCCTACAAGATGAGGCATGGGCTAGGTTCTTCAACTTGATTCAAAACCCCAAACCTTCCCCATTAATGCTTAATTATAATCATTAATTATAACTGGAAATCACCAAATGGGATTTTTTTTTCTTGTTTTCCATTCAATGAAACAGCTAAATTTGCAGGAATGATAGCCTTTTATGAGAGGGTAACACATGCTGAGTTGAAGACAAAGCTTGAGAACTGCCCATATCATTTTTGTTTCTTAGCAGAACTGGAAAAAAAATCGGGCATAGTTGCCTTTTCTGAGAGGATAAATCCTGGTGAGTTTCAGATAATTAGGTTCAAGGTTGTTATATAATTACTCAACAACCACCAAACCAAATATTTGAGTCCCAGGTATTTTTAGACTTGTCAGATAAGTCACCAAACCAAAATGGTAAAGAAGTAACTTTATTTCTTTAATGAAATAAATTAACACTTACTGGTATACAGTGATACTCCTCATATTAGAAACTTTTGTATCAATCTGTGAAAGGGCTTCAGTAGTATAGCCCTTGAACTAGCTGCTGTATGGCTTCCCTTGTATTAGTTTTCCAGACATTAGGAAATGCCACAAAACTTGACTTCGGTTGATTTTTGATGTGCACCATATAAAACCAATCCCTATATTTGCGAATATGAAGACTGTCACATATTTCTTCGCTTCTGTTTTATCCAGAGATGGTGGTGTGGTGGTGAGCAATATATACCAAAAATATTTTTTTGGCAATATACCAAAAAAATAAATAAATCTGCCACTATGATTTGAAGGTTAACTGTCAGATCTTGATATGATCCAGGGATTCCAGGAGCTACAAAAATGGGACTGGAGGACCATATATAGTCCACAGTCTTTAGACTGCCCATCTCTAACCTAAGACAAGTAAGTGGGCTGAGAGACTCAATATTGCTTCTGTGTATAATCTCAGCAAAGCTGAATGGGAACTATGTTACTTAGTGTGCAGTTTTTATTTTCAGGCTGAGTCTAAATTGCAGAATTCATAGCTATATCATATGACACAATTTTTGGCTTCTATCTTGGTTTTTTCAGGATAACCTGACACTAAAAAGGGGAGCAGGGCTTTGATTGCATAGTCCCAGCCAACATCTTGATTTTTTTTACCCCTTTCCATGGATGCTCCTGTATCCTGGGACTATTTAAATAGTCATAATAAAGTCATAATAAAGATGCTGCCGAAGTATGAATGTAAAGCAGTGTTGTCCAAACTTGGCCACTTTAAGATGAGTGGACTTCAACTCCCAGAATTCTGGGAGTTGAAGTCCACTCATCTTAAAGTGGCCAAGTTTGGACAACACTGATGTAAGAGCTTTTCTTGTGCTTGTGTGGACCAGCTTGACTCTGTTTGAAATGTTTCTTAGCATCACTTTGCAGCCACAAAGGATAGTGAGGTTCCCCCCCCCCCCACTTTTGCAAGGAACTGGATAGAAAAACAATACCTTAACCCTAAATCTCTAGTCCTCCATTTTTTCCTTAGGGCCATCATAAAATTGCAACTTAGGGCCTGCCCTGTCTAGAGTAGTATGTGGGTATGTGGAGAGAAAGACTTGCATTTGTGCTGAGCAGTAACAGAGCAGAAAGTGTATCCCCATTCATCTTTCTATAATAACATGCCCTCATTTCAAATAAAAGAACATTTTAGAAAGTATAAAAATCAAATGTGCTGCTGTTGCCCTGTTCCACAGCATCAGTGATAAGCTAAGAGAATTTCTTCTCTTGGCCAAGAGGGCTTTGTGAGAGGCAGTTTCAGACTCTCCTCTTGGTCAGAGGGTTATCATATTTCAGTTTCTCAAATCTGAATCACCTGTTCTTATTCACAAGTTGTTCATAATGTTTTTCTTTAACTTGACACCTTTATTTTTATAGACTTCAGGTGAATTGGAGGGTTCTGTTGTGCTTCAGTATAAATCAGAATGCCAGATTTTCAGAGAGAGGATGGCCTTCTCACTCCAACTTCAGGAGAATGACAGGTTAGAATAGCTTCCTCTCCCAAATATGCTCCGCTACACCCATCTAATGCTCCTACCCCTTCTTTTAGATTCTTATTGGTTTTTATATATTCTTTCTGGCTGGTCTATGGCTGTAAAAAAGATTTGATATGATATTTCTGCTGGAATAAACAACTTTGTAATTTCGCAGTAGTCTCTCAGATGCTGGTAAGAAGCCCATATGGAAAATATAACATCAAGAGCATTTGCTAACTTGCATTTCCCAGCAACTGGGAATGTTGGAGTCTGGTGAAAAGTATCTTCCTTCCACAGTGGTGACTGCTATTTTCTGCTACCCAGATTCACCCAGTGGGAGAGGGGAATCAAATTGGGCTGGGTTTTCTTAAGAGAAATTTTGTCACTGTCACTGCAGAATCAACCTTCTGGACTCTGTTCCAAAAATCATCAGTGAAAGACATCTTGCCAAAATAATTGGAACCCTAGATTTTGGGAATGAAAGACAAGAATTTTAAATATTCTCTTTGAGGATGTACATGATTCATATATACATATTTTTCCCTAGAATTTTGTGGAATGTTGTGCTGTACATTCCTGTCTCAAGCATTCTCTCACATCTCCATGGCTGTACATTCCTCCAGGTTACCTATTCACCGGTTGGCAGCTCAGGCCCTTTTGCAAGATCTGGAGGGAGCAACTTCAATGAAAAATCAAAACTTGGCATTGGAGACAAGCCTAAGCTCTGGAGTGTGGTGTGATCAGACTGCCTATGTGTTAATAAACACAGACCTGGGCAAGCCACTTCAATCTTCTGTTTACTTCCGAAGGATTCCTGTTCTCGGCCCAGTGAACTTATGCAACCGTCGTTTGTTACAAACTCAACCAATGGCTTATGAAGTTGTGGACATCAGTTAGAGCTACATATGTTTTTTTATTGGGGGTCAAGAGGATGCTGGGTTGGGTGTATTGCATTACTTTATTTCTCCAATAACTTAGTAATTATATAATTAGAATATGACGGGAATGGACTCTGCATGGTTTCCCTAGTTGTGTGCAGGAAATTTAGACAATTTTGGATTAGTTTGGAAGATAGATATGTGAGGTATTGTCCATTCATACATGGTTTTCCATCTGAGAAAAAGTGCTTGACAATATGAACAGTTCAGCAGTAGAGCTAATTGCCCAGTGAGTTAGAAAAGGTAATACCTTCTCAAAACAAGCTCAGCTCCTGGTGACTGCATGGGCGTGTCATCTGTATGTAAATTCCTCCAACCAGCACATATTTTAAGTTAGGATTGTACTGTTAGTCAGTAGAAATATTGCTAAAATTAGGATTGTACTGTTAGTCTGCAGGAACAAAGCATCCATAGTGTTCTTATTCAGTTTGTCTATTTCTGATCTGTTTCCACTATCCGAACATCAACTCCAGACATGTCCATGTCCTTTGTTTCTTCCTAGTGCGCATGAACATTGATAAGGTCTGTGAGCGGGATTGCAAATTATTCCTGCTGGAAGAAGAACCTTCCAAGTATGAAAAGATTAAGACAAGATTTGTTGAATTATCAAAGACGTTTTCTTCTGCAGTATCTGCCTTCTTTGCCACTAGTACGTCAGGCTGGAGAAATGATTTGACTCCGGGAGATTTTGTTAATGCTCAGAGTACAACCTTTGATCAGTTTGATCAACCAGGTAAGTCTGTATGCAGCGGATTGCAATAGTATATGCATTCAGTTAAAGAGATTTCATTAGTAAAAATTCTGTCTGTCAAATTGCAATGAACTGGATAGTCTGGTATGTAATCTCCTTGTTCAATTCTTATTTGTATTACTTTTTGTTCAAGGGCTTGACCTTGAAGGATAAGATAGATAGATAAGAGATATTTAATAGGAAGTAAATAAAAGTGCAAGTCCAAAAGGTGAAAGCTGTTGACGAGAGACTAGAACTATACCCAGAGATTTTTCACTTACCACTTCTAGATGTTAAGTCAGGGATAACCTACCTTTTGTGGCCTATGGTGTATTTGGAACTTTGAGGTGGTGTCATGGATGCCACTGTAAAATGGCTGCCCCCAAGGGCTTGTCTATTTACAAAATGGCTACCATAACGAGTGTCATGGTACCCATCATAGAAAGCAAACTGGTGGCCTGAAAGGCAAGTAATTCTCAGGAAACTCTGTGTAAGAGAATGGTGACATCTGAATCCAATACACAAAACCCTTAATTTCAAGCCAGTTTTCTGTTCTAACAGAATATCTGTAATTTAGAAGACAAATCCTTCCTTCCCCTAGTTGTGGATTTTCCATTTCCGATGCTCCCCCACACAACCCCCTGTCTTTTTCTGCCCCCATGGTCTCATCCATACTTTTTCATCAACCTTCTTTTCTCTTCTGTATAATCTTCTGCATGCCTTTTCTTTTCCATTCCATGACACAGATAGCCAGAGTCCAGTGGGTCCTGTAAGCATTGTATTGGGGAGTACAGAGAAGGGATCTTCTGCATCTCTGGGTAATAACAGAAATGCTTGGCACACAGCGTATAACCTAGGCAATGTCTTAAAGAAGTTTATAAACATTATTATGAATAAATACATAAAGAATAATCCATTGAGATCCCCTCCCTTCTCTACTTGTATATTTATACCTATAAAATCCTATTCACATCCCCAGATTCTATCATACTTTATTGCATTTCTTCATTAAATAGAAAGAAGAGTAAAGCACTGTAGGTAAAAGAGTGCAGCTTTGCAGACAGCGACAGGTCATCAATTGTATATTGTTTTATTTCAGCATTTGTGTGTCATCTTTCAGATATAGCCTTCCTGTGGTCCCTCCAGTCCCAAATTTTCATATGGAGAGGTCATTCAGATAATACATGGGAACACTTATTATTTTGTTTATGTATAAACAACATAGAACATATGTATCCAGTTTCACCAAATGTACAGTATAAATACTATCAATTTCAGATGGTCTATTCTAAGTTTGATTAATTCTGAATGTAGTCCCTGGTCTTTAGTGCCAACTGATCTGATACTTTTTGCTGGCGTATCCATGACCTGAACTTGTGAGGCTGATCTTAAGAGTGGAACAAGTTCATATGGCTGTAAGTAGGTAGGCAGAGGAAATGCGCTGCATGTTGAGATGTGCCTGAATGTGAAAACTCAAGAACAGGGAAGCTTGAAAAAGGACTTGTTTAGCTAAAGATGAACGAGATCTCTATACTAAATCTAAAAAAGTTTTTTTGTTAACCTGAGGGCTGAGTCATTCAGGTTTTCCCTGTAACTTCCAAATGAACTATAATATGCCCCTCCAGCCTGGTTTAAAGTAGTGAACACTGGTTTACCCTTGTCCATGCTATCCCTTGAGTACTTTGCACTGTGATTTTTAGAGCAACTAGAGAACAGGTGCGGAACATGCTATACTTGTGAAGTCTGCTATGTTTTGATGGCTTTATTTCCTTTCAGACAGTGAATCGCTTCTTTTGAAAGTGGTCTCCTTGCAAAATGCAGATGGCTCCTGGATTTTGGATGCCTGTTTGCTCAGCCTACTAGGTCTGAATGAAGCTGAGACTTTGGCAAAGAAACCTCTCCAGGTAAGACACTCAGGAAACTCCAATATTCCCATAAGGATAAGGTTCTCTGTCTTCATTCATAAAGACAGAAAGCATTTATTTGATATGGAGAGCATCCCTATTTATGGGAGAACTGGCGATGACTCTGACAGTGAGTAGGCATTATTCTGGGCAACTCTCCTCCCTTGTGTATAATTTCAGGTGGCCCCAGCTGCATGGGCAACAGTTCTTGTCATTCTTTGGTTGCATGTTCATGCCACAGAGGAGAGGGATATCTGGGAGTTATTGGAAGCAAAAGCCTTGGGATGGCTCCATGAGAATGCAGGTGAGTGTATGACACAGAGCATCCATCCATCCATCCATCCATCCATCCATCCATCCATCCATCCATCCATCCATCCAATATTTATTTATTTATCATATTTATATAGTTGCCCACTTAACATGTAACTCAGGGCAGCACGCACAATTAAAAACAATAAATGTAGTTTGGGGGAATAATGATGACAATGATGACAACAATATTGGAAGAGGAATGCAGTGATATTACAATATATACATACACACATACATACATACATACATACCTACCTACCTCTTTTTTGCAGGTCCTAAACTAGCTCAATGCATACAGATCGGCAATACTTTTCTGGGATGCGATATCAACCCTGCGGTTTTTAAGCTGTGAGGTGTTCTCCCGTTCTTTAGTAAATCAGTGGAACTTTCTCACTCATTTTTGCTGCTGTTCTGTCAGACTTTTACATGTGCTAGAATGTTTGATATTTTTCCTCAAAATGGCTGCAAATATAGATACAGTTGAGGTAAAACCCAAATAAGCCACAGAGGTGAGTGCCAAAAAGGTACACAAAATGCTCTGGAGAATTTCTTCCCAACTAGAATTACAGGTTAGGTCAGGATGACTGAAAAGAGAGAAATGCATGCACTGGCTTTCTATGTGAACATGAGCCAACAACTACTTGCCGCTTTGAGGCCAAAGTATACGCTTGTAGTTATGTTTCTTCATTGCGTGAATTGTAGGCAAAATCATTATCAATCAGCATGTATTCTCTCCTTGGTATCACCACTGGAACTGATTTAGACAAGGCCAGAAAGAAAGAGAACAGAGGGACATGATAGAGGGGGAAAAAGAAGATGTTGGAAAGGACTTAACAAAAAGTGCTTGGTTGATAAGGCTTTTATGTTATGCTGAACATAAGGCACTGATGAGTAGGATCATCTCTCTTGAAACTAATATTTTAAGAAACACTCTAGGTTCTTATTTTTTCCTACAAATATATATTTCTATAATAAGAGAGATGAGCATTCACTTTTGCCATTTTAGGTTCCTCCAGAAGAGTTTGGATCACAACTCCCTACCTTCCAGCCTGTATAGTCACTGGCCACACTGGCTGGAAACTCTAAGAGTGATAATCCTAATACATATGGAATTCACTGGCTCAAGCCAATTCCAACAACCTCTTAACTTTTTGTTACTATCAGGTACCATAAGAGGAGCTAATTATATTATTCCCTGTGTTACCTGGTCTTAGTTCACATTCGAAACTGAACATAGTTCATGTGATCAATTGATTGTTAATCTGAGCTGAAGCATAGCCCTAGGTTTCAGTCGTGTACCTATGGAAATATTAGATTGATTCATCCAGCCTAAGTTTTCGCTGGGATTGGAATTTTCTTAGCGAATTTCTCTATTTTTCCCATGTTGTCTCCTCTTTCTCCTTGAGCAATATTTACTACTACATGCTTTGCCCAAGCAATCTTCTTGCACACTCAGTCATATATTTTATTATAATTGTATTATAATTCTAATTCAAAGATTATAGTCTTTGCTGATGCCTACCAAAAAAAGTTTAGGCATCCCTAGACAAATTGTATGTTTCAATAAATCCCTAAGAGAATGGAAGCTGACACAACCTCTGCATGGTACAATGTTAAACATGATATATTTTTGTACATTTGAATTCATACTTCTGGGATGAAGTTATAGGCATCCATCAAGAATTTCTGAGATAAAAACACAAAATGGATGGAAGCTGTCTTGTTGAAAATAAAAAATGTTATAGTTAAAATTAGCAGGAACTGAACTGTTTCAGTTTCAGTTTATTACTGTCAAAGATCAGCCAAGGGAACTGAAATAAGTAGAGTTACAGAATGGTTGGTAAGTTGAGTACAGTCATTCATTTAGGTTTTGTATGAAATATAACTCGACATCCATTTTAATGAAGAGTTTTGGGGACCTTGGAAACGTGTATGCTTGTCTAAATAAAGTTAATACCATATTGTGACTTAGAGACTTATTCTGGTTATTAGTGCTTTGCATAAAGGGTTCAGCAGGGGAAAAAAATGCAATTGTCAAATTAATAGGGCAGACATTTAGCATGGTGTTATTAATGACAAAGTTCTGGCTTTAATTCTTGAATAGATTAAGAGTTTATGGTAATGAGTTTCTGGGCTAATAGGCCATGGTCTAATTATCTGGTATCCTGACATTTCACCAGCAGTTGTGGCTGGCATCTTAAGAGGTATAGTGATCTACTCCATAGTGCACCTAGCCCAGAAACTCATCACCATTGGATTGATGCTGGCTGTGAAAGCCTGCATCAATAGATGAAGAGTTTGATTTTTTTTCCCCAATCCTTGCTTGGTTATCTCAATTTAAAAAAGAAATGAATAGAAAATGAATAGAATTTCCCACCTCAAAATAAAAGGCATTTTGCAATCTCACCCACTTTATAGACTTAGAGATCCACAGAGATCCAGACTTCTAAATGAATTTCTATACAAACTTCAAATAACAAATATGAGTTTCATGGAAAGTATTTTATAAAAGATAAGTGAAAGTAGAGGCCTTTCTTTCCCCTGGATTAACACATTTGAGGATTTATTTACTGTTTGGAGAATATTGAGCAAAGCGTGCAAAGGAAAATTTTTTAAAAATCTGGAACAAAAGCACAATTTAACAAATAAACACAAGGTCTTTATGCAGCGATATGAGAAAG